ATTGTTAAGCAATTTTTGTAATATTTCTATTGTAAATATGTTAACATTTTAATATTATTTTAAATGTAATTTACTTCTGACTCTTACTTCGCCCTTTTAATTTTTGTTGAATAATGACATTAATTTTATCTTGGCTTACTTTCGCCATATCCTCTTCATTTAAAAATAAAGTTAATACTTTATTTTTATCCTCTAATATAAAGACCGGGAAATCATGCAATTGCTGTAATCGCTGTTCCATCGCAAATCGCAAATATTCGTCCGTTCATTGTTGTATTGTCCGGTACTCGTTGCTCGTTCCGAATTACAAATCATGCGCATAGACCGCATGAACGCATCAGACGCATCAACTGCCTCAGGTCGAAAGAGAAGCAATCAATGCGCTGAGTGGAGTGCTAAGAATTCAGTACGGTTAGTACAATCTGGGGAATTCAAGTACTCTCGAAGCGCGCAATAGTTAACTCGGAACGACTTTCTATGCAGTCTACGCGCTTCATGCGCGACTCGGAACGCACCCACAGTGTCGAACGCGGTGCTTTCCAACAACGACACGCCACGGCACGATTCGACACAGCAGCTTAGGCTGCTTTCCATCAAGGCTTTTAGGCGACATACATCGACACAAATGTCGAACGCGGTGCTTTCCAACAACGACACGCCACGGCACGATTCGACACAGCAGAAAAGCATAGTCGGACACTCTTGGTTATGGTTGCCAATTTTCGGTTGGCGCTTTAGAATATTTACATTTTAAATATATGTACGATATAAGAAGTACGTTCATAAGTCATCTGGATTATTTTAATGTAAAAAATAATATCTACGCATAAGATTATTATCCAACAAGAGACACAGAAGTGACACGGTGTGACACGGCAATCGTTGCATCCTCGTCGTTCGCTAATGTTAAATAAAGATGAGATGATTGCTGTGTCGTAGATGGAAAGCAACCTATGCAGTCTACGCGCTTCATGCGTAACTCGGAACGCACCCTGTGTTACACAGTGTTCGGTTTTGAGCGTTCCAGCAACGACACAGTGTCACACTGCTCGACACGGCGAATAGATGAATTTATGGGTGCCGTCACATACAGCCCGTAATCCGTAATGTATTTGTGTATGTATTTGCATATACATGCACATTTGCGGAAGTGGAACTATAAATGGCGGAACCAATGAGAAGAGAGAACACTATCCGCTCCACTTTCCCTTGATTCTCTCTGTTTGGAACGATAAAGCAGTGCTGTCAGTACTGTCAGTAGATTTCGGAACATACTTTGTGTCATATCATATTCTGTTTCGCTTGTTGATAGGAACACAACTACGTTCCGGGTCATTAGATTTTTATCTTTCCGTCAGCAATTTGATGGCGAAAAAGTTCATGCGAAAAGTTTCACGTTTTCATGTTTCGCCAAGTTTTATGATCATAAATTCATGTAAAATCTTCCCCTTTTCGTCTTTCCGCCCTAGGGAAAAAGTCACATGATCGTTGCTCAGACGCAGACGCGCAAGCGAATACGATAAATCTGTGAAACTACTTTGCAACTAAAGTGTATGCCTCTTTTGTTCTCTCTCTATCGCGTTTCCTACTATCGTGAATGTTTTGTGGTTCCATTGGATCCCATGTTGAAGATTGGAAATCATTTTCAAATCAAATCAAGCCAAGTCATATTTGATCCTTGTGGTGAACGTTGACGAGAGTAGTCGAAATTTTCCAAAACAATTCCACAACCCGTGATGTAAAGCTATCTCGGCCATTAGCGTAAGTGAGCTACGCGCGCGTTGACGTGACGTTCGACGTGCTCGCCATTTTGAGTTTACCGTGTTGGACACATGCATTGGTGGTAGAGGGGATTTTTCTGTCAATCGGTCACAAACTATCGGTGGAGTCTTGTTCGTTCCGTTGTCGCCCTGTTTTGTTGCGGCTGTGCACAATTGTGTTGGACTGTGTTTCGGCGGTTTTCACGCGCAAATTCACGAAAACTTACGGAACTCGTACAATTTAGCGAGTTAACGCTGATTAATCCCACGCTGTTTAACTCGTATGATCGACTCTCAATAGAATGCAGTTGTGTGCTGGGGATGGCAAGTGTTTCAACACTGAAGCACCTTCAGCCGTCAGCGTCTCTCTCTAAAGTCGGAGAGATTGACCTTCGCGCCGTTGGTTAGATCGGTCAATGGTTCGACGACAATGATAACCAAGACCAACCCTACGGTAGAATCTTAATTTGGATGAAAAGATCGATTTTGGAGCAAGTGTTCGATACAGGAAGTTCACGTTCCAAAAATGGCCCTCGCATTTGCGCGCGATTTGACGGATACGTGATGATTGTTACACGAGGTCACGTTATAAAGCTTCGCCCCACATCGAGGTGATTTCCACTCAAATCATCACTTATAGTTTGACGAAGAAAATTTCTAAAATAAACACGGAACAATCTCCAGTAAGAAAAAAGAAGTAATACGAGTGATTACTTCTTGATTATGCCACCGTGCGAGAAATAACTCGGGAGTTTCCGAAACTTTCCAGACAATGTATCGCGAATGAGCTTTGAGCCCCATGCAAGTTCATGGATAGCGATTTGCCAGGAAAAGAAAGGTATATTGATGAGCGTGGTTTCTGACTTTGTTCTATTTATATTTTTGCACCTTTGTCCTGGAAGATTTGTTGTGATTATTATTTTCTATGACGCGGACTCTATAATTTAAATAATGCCTCGTGCTGGTGACGTGGATTGCATGATAAAAAGCAATTTTTGGTGTGCTTCTGGTATAGCCACCAAAAGTAATCGCGACTAAGGCTATCTTCGTTTTCAGGGATCAGAAGACAAAGATAGCCTCAACCACGGTTACTTTTGGTTGTTATACCAGAGACACGCCAAAAATCGCTTTTAATGTCATTTATTAAGATTCATTCGTGATGATCTCTGTAATGGGCCTTCTATAATAAGCCATTACTTAAGTTTTAAGTGTTAAATCATAAGAAATTTACCTACCACAATCGAATGTGAGAAGAATAATCGACTGTGAGTGGTCAATTTCTTATAACTTAATACTTGAAACTTAGGTAATGGCTTATTGTAGAAGGCCTATGAGAGACAACGTCACTCTTAGAAATCAGAAGCAAATGCTTATTTGCTGAGTGCTTGAATCATACTAATAAAATCACTTTTACTTTACTTTAAAGAATTAATAATTGTTTATTTGCATATAAATAACCTTGCATAAATATTTTAAACGAGATAATTTAAGTAAAGGTTATTATAATCTGTATAAAATTCTACAGGTTTTTCTATGCGGTGGATGTATTTTAAATGGGGAAAAATTTAGATGATTTTGGAGATATGAGACTTTCGATTATACAAGAAAATAGTAAAAATGAGGTAAAAAAATTTGGAAACCGAGTTTCTAAGAATGCAATCATGATGAACGATCCTAAGTATGGTGAAGATAACAGGACAGACAACTTAGAGAGAGAAGAAGGTTCTATGATATCCAATCTCCCTCTTTTGTTTGCTAATGGTTATCCCACATCTCTGGAGAAAATTACCATGGTAAGTTAACTATATTATTTGTCATATAAGTATATTATTGAACTCTCAAAATTAAACAATTAATCACAAGAACAAATAAGATGCCAATATAAGCCAACACAAGTTCTTAGTGTACTTTTCATACAATTTATTAGAAATAAATAATAAAACGTATAGAAATAAATAATAAAACGTATAAATAATACGCTTCGATCTATGGTTAAGGTCCTCTTTAGTACATGTTTAAAATAATATAAAATGACAATTAAAAATAAAATTACGTATATGATGGTAGTGCATACATCTATACTTAATTAAAGTGTGAGATAAGAAATACTCAAGTGGTAATGTCCAAATTAAAGTCAAATCTTGTTCATCAAATTGTTAAGTTTACTAAAAATATTTAAGAAATGAAAGTTAAAAGTTATTTTTAATTTTTAAGCGTAAATTTGTTTCCTCCAATAAATATATAATAAAATTAGCTTAAAAACTTTTTGTTTTTTGTGTATCATCTCTGATATCAGTCTTTTATTTAAAATTTGTTCTTTGTCCAAAATATGTACATTATCCCAATCAAATTCATGAGATAAGTCAATACGATGTTGTGTAATTACAGAATGTTGGGTCATGTTTCTGTTGATATGATTTTTATGCTCATTTATACGCGTTTTTAAGCATCTGCTCGTTCGTCCGACATACGACGCAACACAATCTCTACAATCGATTTTGTATACTACATTAGATTGAGAAGATTGGGGTAATCCTTCTGGACTTTGATGAATTTATTAAATTTATTTATACCTTTATTTTATTTATGCCTCTAAATTTCACATTAATTTATTAAAAATTTTACCTACACAGTAAACTGAGCAGTTTAATGAAACCTGTACAACAATTACACAAAAAATCGTCTAATCTTGACAATTATGTAAGCTAATTTTATTATATATTTATTGAAGGAAAAAATTTACGCTTAAAAATTAAAAATAACTTTTAACTTTCATTTCTTAAATATTTTTAGTAAATTTAACAATTTGATGAACAAGATTTGACTTCAATTTGGACATTACCACCTGAGTATTTCTTATCTCACACTTTAATTAAGTTGTATGCACTACCATCATATACGTAATTTTATTTTTAATTATTTTTAATTGTCAATTTTATATTATTTTAAACATGTATTAAAGAGGACCTTAATCATAGATCGAAACGTATTATTTATACGTTTTATTATTTCAGAGTTGCCACAAGTCAGGGAAAAATCAGAGATTTAGCAAACTTTTCTGGAAAAACAAAATAGCTGTAAAGAAATTTAAAACATCTGTTTAGTTTGATGTCTGTTTTATTTATATCACGGCGCCATTGTCGATAAAATCGACTGTGATAAAATTGAGAAAGAATTTAAAGGTGCTTTTTCATGCGCAGCACGCTGCAGCAGCAATTCGTTACTATTGGTTAAGAATTTTATGTAAGCTAGATGACGCACTTCCGGCGCAAAATACATTTTGCCGCAGTTCGTTGAAGTTGAACCGAACGAACAGCAAGCAGCAAGCGGCAAAATCGAGGCAATATTATTTATTGCAATAAATATTAGGAAAAT